AGAGTGTACACCTGGTTTGTGTTCATCTCTTAATTTCTGGATCAGGGGCTGAGACCTTGCCACATGTCCTTTGTACCTAAAAATTTAAGAGGTAATAAAATAAGCAGGTTAGATATAACTCAAGAGAGAATTAGTAAATAAGACAGTAGATCTGAGAACATTGTCCAGAGAACATTGTCCAGAAGGTAGCAGAGAGAAAGAAATGAAAAGTGAGAGAGAAATGAAAAGATATAAAGGACAAAGTTTCTGTCTCTCTCACCTCCTCACTCCCCCCCCCCCCCCATAATATATACAAACTAACACACATATAAAATCTTACAAAGAAGAGAATGGAGAAAAGGAGGATGCAATATTCAGAGAGATAATAGTTGAGAATTTTTCTGACTTAAAGACAAATACTTAAATGTGTTTACCTAAAAAACTATATGCATGATAGTGAAGGTGCAGAGCACAATTTAAAATAATAAAAATTGTTTAGAGTAACCAGAGAGAAAATGCAGATAACCTACAAGGAAGACACTTATACTGACAGCTACAGTAGATACAAGGCACCATGAAACAATATGTTAAAAGTGCTGAAAGAAAAATAAACCAACTTATGATTCTATATCCATCTCAACTATCATTCAAGAGATGAAATAAATATTTCGAACAACCTAGGATTATGCCACTAATTGATGTTTACTTAAAGAATTTTGAAAAATTTATTTCAAAAATGAAGAAAATTGAACCCAGAGAAGGGAGTAAGTAGCAAAGTGGAATGGTGAATAAAGATATATAAGCATATACTGTTTAATAATTATAATGGTGCCTACTTAAGGAGTAATAGGATAGAACTAAAACATTGGGGGGAATAATGTATAAGATGGGGAAGGATGATTTAGAATAGTGTTTGTTTGTTTTTTTAATAGTAGGCAAGTTATATGTCAAAGTTTTAAAAATCTATATACGTTACTTGGGGAAAAGGGTTTTATACAGTGTCATTCCAAGTAATATGCCTTTAATTAAAATTTTTGATAACCTGATAGTTTTAGTTGGCTTATCCTATGATTTCTGTGTTATGAAAAGAAAAGTCTTGCCCTGGCCGGTTTGGTTCAGCGGTTAGAGCATCGGCCTGTGGTCCAGAGAGACCTGGGTTCGGCTCCCGCTAAGGGCATGTACCTCGGTTGCAGTTTGTCCCGGCCCTGGTTGGGTCGTGTGGGTGGCAGCCACTCGATGGGTCCCTTTCACATCGATATTTCTCTCTCTTTTCCTCTCTGTCCCTCCCACTCTATCTGAACAACAAAAAAAAAAAAAAAGGAAAAATGTCCTCGGGTGAGGATATAAATAAATAAAATAATAAAAGTCTTCTCATGGGAATAAAAGCAAGATAATTTAGAACATAAATTGGGGGAGGGTGCTATAGAAAGTGTTCCTACCAGGTGTGAATTATTTTAAAACTATAGCAGTGTTATTAGTGCAGGAGTAGACAGACCATTGGAACAGAATATAGAATTCAAAAATAAAACTGCACCTATATGGAAAGGATGGATTGTTCATCAGTGGTATTGGGATTACTGGTTGATATAGAAAAAAAGTAATAGCTAGTCCTATTTTTACATAAGCCGGTAAATTCCTCAACACATAAATTCTCAAGTGTGGCAAACAAATTTATATTTAAAAAGTAAAAGAAAAATTATAGTCTCACTATCTGGGAGAATTACTGAAGACATAAAATCCACCTACCACAAAGTAAAAAAGATAGATAAGTTGAACTACAGTGAAATAACAACTGTGAATCAAAGGACATCATAAAGAAGGTGAAAATACAAACTACAATTTAGAAAATATATTTGTAACTCATAAAATCAGTAAAAGATTAGTATCTAGAATATATTAAGAACTCCTACAAATAAGATAAAGCAACAAATGATATGATTGGACAGTTTACAGAAGAGGAATCTTAAGTAATCTACAAAGACAAAAAAAGCTTCTTATGCTTATTATTGATTCTAAAAATCTAAGCAACAAGATATAACTTTACACTCATCAAATTGACAAAAATTAAAGTCTGATAGTACTAATTGTTGGCGACTATATCATTAGAAGAGTAAATTGGTACAATCACTTTGAAAAGCAATTTGTTGATACCTATGAAAATTAAAGATGCCTATACCCTATGATCCAACAATTCTACTGTTAGCCATATGTCCTAATAGTTGTTCTTAATATTTTTTTTATGCCTCAGATCTTTTTTGAAGGCTGGTGAAAGCTAGAATAATATTTGAAGTTCATACAATAAAATACATAAGATTATAATGGAAATTAATATTGAATAGTTATCAAAAATTTTTAAATTTGTGATATAGTATACATTATTAATGCATGGTAATAAAACCTACTGAAAGTTTAATACTTGTCATATCTTGAAAGTAATGATTTGTGTAAATGCTATTTTGATATAATCTGCAACCACTGTTATGTGATATGAATAATCTAGGTCAGTTAGTAACAAAAATCACAGGTACTGCTGAATGTTATTAGGTGTATACATTAATAATTCAAAGGAGATATTAAATTTCAGTTCATGGTAAGTGAAAAATAAAAGGTTTATTTGTTTTCATATATGTTCACAAACCTGCCATAAAGGGTTTTGTGGATCCCAAGTTTAAGAATGAGTGTCCTAACCTGGCTGGTTTGGCTCAGCAGTTGGAGCGTCAGCCTGTGGACCAGAGAGTCCTGCTAGGGGCACGTACCAAAAAAAAAAGAATGAATGTCCTGGCCTGACCTGGTAGTTCAGTTGGCTAGACCATCATGATATGCCAAGGTTGCAGAGCACATAACAGAATCAACCAATGAATGCTTAAATAAGTGAAACAAGAAATGAATGTTTCTCTCTCTCTTTCTCTCCCTTCCTCTTGCTCTAAAATCAATTTAAAAAGAAAAAAGAACCCTGGCCAGTTTGGTTCAGTGGTTAGTGTCGGTCCATGGACCAAAGGATCATGTACCTGGGTTGCAGGTTCATCCCTCGCCACCAGGAGGCAACCAATTGATGTGTCTCTCACAGGTCGATGTTTCTCTCTCCCTGCCTCTCCCTCCCTCCCACTCTACCTAAAAAGAAAAAGTTAATGGAAAAATATCCTCGTTGAGGGTTAACAAAAAGAAAGAGAATGAATGTCCTACAGACACCCTTAAATGTATATCCAAGATTAACTGCAACACCATTACAGTATTATAATAACAAAGAAATGGGGAAGAACTTTAAGATTCATTAATAGATTTTATAAATCTAATACAGGGTGTGGCAAGCGTAGGTTCACAGTTGTGAGTACATGAAACCAGAGTTTATTCTTGTATTATTATTTATTAATTATTGCATCATTGTCCATACAAATAACTGTAAACCTACTTTCCCCGACCGTGTGTGTGTGTGTGTGTGTGTGTGTGTGTGTGTGTGTATACACTTTTTTAAATCCTCATCTGAGGACATTTTTTGCATTTATCTTCAGATAGAGCAGGAGGGAGAGAGGGGGAAAGAGAGAAAGAGAAACATCGATGTGAGAGAGACATCGAGCGGTTGCCACTCACACAACCCCAACCGGGACCAGGGACAAACTGCAACCAAGGTACATGCCCTTAGGGGGAACCAAACCCGGGACTCTCTGGTCCGCGGGCTGATGTTCTAACTACTGAGCCAAGCCAGCCAGGGCCCACCCTGTATATTTAGACAGTGGATAACTGTGTAGCAATAATAATGAATGGAGCCAAGTTATAATAATATGGTAGATGTCTTGTAATGTCTCCTTGTATACCATCATGGATGATCTCAGTATTGAGTGGTAAAGAAGCAAGTTTCCAAAGAATACACATGCTATAACATTATTTATGAAAATTTAACATTTCATATAAAGTGTAAAAACCTATACAGGAATGGTATGTTCAAATTCAGGGTAGTTGTTATTCAAGGGTAAGGAACTGTGATGGGAAGGGCAATCTAATTACATAGGGGGCTTTTAATTATGTTTGTGATGTTTAATTATTTAACTGTATGATGGAGACATTACTTTATTGTATACTTGGAATATTTTGTTAAAAGTACGTATTCTTTTGACAGAATATTAATGTGAGAGAGAGAGTTTCAATTTTAATTTACATGACAATTCAGAGTTTGTATATATAGGACCTTGTTAAGGGAAAAACAACATATTAAGTGTTTTTCCCCAGTTTATCTCAGATAGGAACTAACCTGTGAAGTGCCAGGTGCTGTAAACATGTGATGAGCCCTGGCGAGTTTGGTTTAGTGGTTAGAGCATCAGCCTGCGGTCCGGAGAGACCCGGGTTCAGTTCCCTTTAAGGGCATGTACCTTGGTTGCAATTTGTCCCTGGTCCTGGTTGGGTCGTGTGGGTGGCAGCCACTCGATGTGTCCCTTTCACGTCGATGTTTCTCTCTCCCACTCTATCTGATCAAAAAAATGTCCTCGGATGAGGATAAAAAAACAAACAAACAAACGTGATGAAAGCATACCCAGTAGATTATTTAATTCTTACAACAGTCCTGTGAGATGAAGGTATGTATTCATGTATTCATGAAGGAAATTTTAACCAAAGCAAAAAAAGAACTGGAGTTTATATTTAGACCTTTCTACCCCCCAAATCCATACTTGCTTCATGGCATTAAATTGAATATCTCTAGCAATAGATGACTGGTTTCGGAAGTGATAAGTTAACTGAACATACAAATTGAGACTGTGTCTGAGGCATACATTAATACTACTGATACTAAAATAATCTCAAGCATGATTTTATAACCTAAAGTTTTCTTAAATATACTTTAGCCTGTTTTTTCACCCTCAAATCATAGGCTGATGAAATTATTAGTTATTAGTAAACTTAGTGTTAAACAGTGTTTCTGTTTTAACACTTTGATCTTTATAATTTAGTACATGTTTACCATCTAAATTTAACCGTAACTTGGTGTTTTATTATTTTAAACCACGTCTTGTTTTCATTTTTGATCTTAGGATCGAAAGTTAACGAAGTCTGAGAGACAGAGGTTTAAAGAAGAGGCTGAAATGTTAAAGGGTCTTCAGCATCCCAATATTGTTCGATTCTATGATTCCTGGGAATCCACGGTGAAAGGAAAGAAATGCATTGTTTTGGTGACTGAACTTATGACATCTGGAACACTTAAAACGTAAGTCCATCAATATAAAAGCTAACCAAGAAGTATGATATACTTTCAATTTTCTTATGTTAGCCTACTTTTGGCCCTTCAACTGTTAGTATATTAGCACATTTTCCTGCCTATAAAGTTCTCAGGTGTATAATGTGATTTTATAATTATTTATTGGTAAGTATCAAAATGAGATGTTATTGCAGAATAAACATAGTTATTTTAAGTCATAGTACTTGGTGATTCTAAAATAGAATGGCTAAGGGATCAGAAATCAAATGACATTAAGGTAGCCCTCTAGTGGTTAAAATGAGGTTGAAACTCACTGAGAAGTTTTACCCATTATTTTATCACTTTGTATTGGGCAGTTTTTGCTGCACCTATGCAACTATTGTATCAAATACTGTATTGTGAACATTATCACTAGGTAATTTTATTTCTCATAGCCTCAAAAATTGAAAACCAAAACAGCTAGACCTATTATCTCTTCTAGCAGTACAGATAGATCAAATACAGAAATTCCCTGTTCCCTATTATAAAGAGTTTTAAGGTAAGAGTTGGAGTATGCCTCTGGAATCTCAGGTCTCTTTTTTTGTACTCAGTATCTATTTGTACTCAAGACGGGAAACTAGTATAAATTATGTGGTTTAAGGTATGTGTCTATTTTAATATGTTTTTATTGATTTTTTTAGAGAGAGAGGAAGGGAGAGAGAGCGATAGAAACATTAGTGTGAGAGAGAAACATTGATCGACCCCCTCCTACATGCCCCCAACCAGGGAACAAGCCCAAAACGTGGGCATGTGCCCTGACCGGGAATCAAACCGGGACCTCTCAGTCCATGGGACAAAGCTCAATCCACTGAGCCACACTGGCCTGGCTGTGGTGTAAGGTGTTTGTTTAAAAAAATATGTATTTTCTTTATTGATTTTAGAGAAAGAGGAAGGGAGAGGGAAAGAGAAATAGAAACATTCATGAACGAAAACATTGATTGGCTGCCTTCTGCATGCCCCCCACTGGGGAGTTGGCCCACAACCTGGGCATGGGCCCTGACCAGGAATCGAACTGGTGACCTTTTAGTGCATGGGTCGATGTTTAACCACTGAGCCACACTGGCCAGGCGGTGTAAGGTTTTTATTGTGACCTTTGCATGTGTAATCAAGTTAAGATGAGTTCATATTGGATTATAGTAGGTTCTAAAGTCAATGACTAGAGTCTTTCTGTGAGAAAAGAGAGATTCTGTTATAGACACACACATAAGAAAGAGCATATAAAGATGGAGGCTGAGATTGGGGTGATGCAGCTATAAGCCAAGGAACAGCAAGGGTTTCCAGGAGCCACAAGAAGCCAGGAAGAGGCAATGAGGGATCCACTCTAGAGCCTTTAGAGCAGCGGTTCTCAACCTGTGGGGTCACGACCCCTTTGGGGGTCAAACGACCCTTTCACAGGGGTCACCTAAGACATAACAGTAGCAAAATTACAGTTACGAAGTAGCAATGAAAATAATTTTATGGTTGGGGGTCACCACAACACGAGGAACTGTATTAGAGGGTCACGGCATTAGGAAAGTTGAGAACTATGCTTTACAGGGAGCAAGGCCCTGCCTAAACTGATTTTGGACTTCTAGCCTCCAGAACTTGAGAAAATCAATTTCTGTTATTTTATGTTACCAAGTTTTTAGTAATTTGTCATAGCAAACCTAAAAAACTAAACATCTCATTGTAAATGATGATGTGGCTTTATATTTAATTATAGAGAAAGATGTGTGTGATCTATTGCCAAACCAAAAAGAAAAAGAAAAAAGTTATAAATACAGATTCTACCTGAGGTGTTTTTTGTTTTTGTTTTTTTTCATTTTTTATTTTCTAGTGTTGGCAGGGTATACAACTCTGGGTAGTAATGTTTCTGGTGATCTCACTTTCCACATAATAAATATTTTTCTATTAGCACACTTTTTATAATCAGGACAAATAAAACTATTTTGGGTATTGATAGTACAAAGATACACAACCGAAAGGGTATATTGCACTAAAACGGGTGGGGAACGTCCGGCCTGCGGGCCGTATAAAGCCCTTGAAATCATTTGGTCTGGCCCTGCCAAGGCAACCACAGGCGGGACTCAAAATTCAATAAAATCTAGGAATTTTTTTTCATAGCAACATATATTGATATTAAGTGAATTATAATAATAACATAAATTTTGAGGGACAAGCAAGGAATGTCCATTATGGGATTGACAGGATACACAAGTACATGATGGGACACACTGATGCTTCTCCTCTGCCTGTGGCCCATCTGCCTGTATTGTGGTGACTCAGAGGACAGTCAGTGTCAGGCAAGCCGGGAATGTACACATTGCAAAAGTGTTAACACACTGTGGCAAACTATGGATCATTTTCGACACCAACCTTTTTTTTTTGTTTGTTTGTTTTTTTATCCTCACCCGAGGATATTTTTTTCCATTTTTTGTACAGATAGAGTGGGAGGGAGAGAGAGGAAGGGAGAGAGAGAGAGAAACATCGACGTGAAGGGACACATCGAGTGGCTGCCACCCGCACGACCAACCAGGGCCAGGGACAAACTGCAACCGAAGTACGTGCCCTTAGCGGGAACCGAACCCCAGTCTCTCCGGACCGCAGGCCGACGCTCTAACCACTGAGCCAAACTGGCCAGGGCTCGACACCAACCTTTATCCACACATCCACAATCAACAATCCTTGCAAAAAAAGTCTAATCCAACTTTATCTACACATCCACGATCAACAGTCCTTGCAAAAACTGAATCTCAGATGAAGATTAAGGAAATTACAGTACACAGAAAAGACCTTAAGAGTCAATGATACGAACATTGGATATGTTTGAAATCCAAGATGCAGGATTAGAACAGCGAGCGATCAAAGCAAAATCATGTCGCTGGTGACACACACACTGGATAGTTATTAAAACTTAAGTGGTGTGATGTCTACAAATGCCAACTACTGAGAAAAGAAAAGTTGATGCAGAGTGTCGATCTTTCTAAGAAAAATGGACAAATAATTATTTTTTGTTGAAGTCAAGGGCAAACTTGTGTGCCTAGTTAGTGGTGATGTGTCAGCAGTAATGAAAAAGGTCAATCTGGAACGTCACTACTGCTCAAACATGCTAAACTCAATAAATAGGGAGGCCAAATGCATCTGGATAAAATCAATGCTCTTCAGCAGGGTTTGGAATCTCAACAAGCCACTTTCACTGGGCCTTGTTATGACAGAGACGTTATTCAAATGAGTTATGTAGTGAGTGAACTAATAGCACCGAAGCTAAGGCCTCATGTAGAGAGAAGGCAAGTTTGTGAAAGAGTGCTTGGTAGCTGCTGCAGAGTTGTTAGCACCAGACAGAGTAAAATTGTTTCAGAGTGTTAGTTTGTCTAGGAGAACTGTCTCAGATCAGATTACTGACTTAGCACAAGATATTGAAAAAACAGTGAAGGATGCTGCAGATTTCCAATTTTTCTCTCTTGCTTGTGATGAGACAACAGACATAACAAATACTGCCCAACTGGCTGTTTTCATTCGTGGAATAACTGCAAAGTTTGACAGGAGAGAGGAACTGCTGTCACTGGAAGCCATGCATGGCACTAAACAGATGAGGACTTGTTTGAGAGACTTGTTTTATCAATGAAAAAACTTGAGCTAACATTGGAGAAGTTAAGTGACCTTACTACAGATGGAGCTCCAGCCTTGGTTGGCTCGCAAAAAGGGTTATTTGCATTCATCAAGAAAGAACTGAATCGTCTCAGTCTAAGTGATTTAATTATATGCCACTGCATCATATACCAAGGACGTCTCTGTGCACAGTCATTGCAGCTTAACAATGTGATGTGAACAGTACTGACATTTTGTTAAAAACAGAAGGTTTAACAGCTGCCAGTTTAAGGAGTTACTGAAGGATCTTGACTCAGTACAGTGATCTTGTTTATCACTGTGAAGCGCGGTGGCTGAGTCAGGGGAACATGCTTATGAGGTTTTACAAACTGTGGGATGAAGTCAAGCAGTTCATGGAGATGAAGAGAAAACCTGTTAAGGAAACTCAATGATAGCAAGTGGCTGTGTGATATGGTATTCATGGCAGATATTACCAAGAAACTCTCAGAGCTGAATGTCAAGCTGCAGGGTCCCAACCAGCTTCTCAGCTCCCTGCTTTCAAATGTGAACTCATTTGAAGCTAAATTAAGGCTGTGGAAAGTGTAACTTGAAAGGAATTAACAGGGTGTATTTCCTCAGTCTGTAAGGACAAAAGCCTTCTACCACACTTGAATATACTGGTAAATGTGCAAAACTAATTGAGGCATTTAATTAAAGATTCAAGGACGTGAAAGTAAACAAATAGAATTGAACATCTATGCTACAGAGTTCAATGTGGAACCAGCTGATGTGCCTGATAACCTACAGCACGAAATCATTCAGCTGCAAAGTATTGATGAGCTGAAAACTAGGTACAACAACCTCCCATTGCTTGCGTTCTATAAATGTTACATAAGCAATGATGAATTTACCACTTTGAGGAGACAGGCATTGAAATAAGCACCTGTGTTTGGAACAACTTACTACTGCGAGCAGTTCTTTTCACAACTTACCATCGCAAGACTGACCAATGCAAACCTGGAAAAGCAGTTGTAAATAGCAACATCATCAGTACCAGCTAACATCACACACCTCACCAAAGAGAAGCAGTTCCAACAATCACATTAGGGATGAGTTAATTAAATGTTTGACCAAATATTTTATATGGCCTGTGAATGATATAAATATCCAAATGGCCCTTGGCAGAAAAATGGTTCCCCACCCCTGATATAAAGTGATAAAAGAAGGAATAGAAACCATAATGAAGAAATATAACTTCATCAATAAAAGTTCAGGCATAATTAGAAAATAACAAAGTACTAGAAATGAGTCATTAAAATTAAAACTTCAGTGCTTAGGTTAAACAGCAGACTAGATTGAAAGACAAGAATAAATATGAAGAAATCAGAAAGCAGAAAACGGTG